CCTTGGAGGTTCACAGAAGATTCTTGAGTAGCCTTATAACTGTGGTTTTGAACTCTATGTCCTCCATTAGTTTGCTTTCCTCCATTTCTTTCATTTGTGACATGTTTCTTTGTCTCCGCATTTTTGGCTGACTGTGAGGACCCCCTGTGTCTACAGTGGAAGAACTGCTGTGTTGGAGACACCCTTATGGGACAGGACTTGCTTCAGTGGGGCTTTGGTGCTCACTGAGTCTGCTTCTTGAGTGTGTCCCTTATGGATGTTAGGAGTTGAAATCTGGTATCTGACCAGGGGTACCCTGGCTCCTGGATCTCCAAGTCAACCACTGTGTGGGTCCACCCAGCAGGAGCTACAGTGATATCAATAGATTTCTCTTCTTTGTTTGGAATTTGGAAGTTTTGGAGCTCTCTGACCCAGCTGCAGTTTGTTGGGTTAGGCTGCAAAAGCACAGGTGATTCCTTTGGCCACTGGCACAGCTTGGGTGGGGATGTAAATTGAGTGGGGTGGGGTCTCAGAGAATCACCAGGGAGGAGCAAACAGCAATGGTTGTCATCAGCGTCGACTCCTCGTGTCTCCATGACTAATTCCGAGTCTCTAAGTCCCCGAGTGCCACGCCCCCACAGCAACAATGATCCCTGCGAGCAGCTCTGCGAGAAGGCCACCCTCACTTTCTAACCCGCTACAAGACAGTCCAGTTTCTCCCCGTAGGAGTCTGGGACCTCAGAATCTCGCCTTAAACGAGCTCAGTGCATTCGAGAGCTTGTATCCCCTTCTGATTGAAAAAAAAAAATGCGCACCCAGGTGCAGCCTCCTCGCGCCCACCTTTGTACGTCTGTTCTTGGTGCCTCTGCACCTCCTATTCAGTCTCAATGTGCTTCTTTCTTTCCTTCTAGTTGTAGAACTTCCACTCGGCCAGCTTTCCCGTGGTTCTGGATGATAGCTGTTTCATCTTATAGTTGTAGTTTCAATGTTGTGGGAGGCAGCACGCATAGGTTTATACCTTATGCCGCCATCTTGGTTCTCTCTCCCAGCCTTCACTTCTGAGCATGTTCTGACACCAGAGAGCTCGTGCCACAATCCCTCCTGCCATCTGCATACATTGCCATCTCTCTTTCCCCCTTCTCCGGTCATTGGTCCCTTTCTCTTTTCTCTCTGCCCCTCCCTAAAGACTGCAACAAGACCTAAGATTCCATGCTTCCCTCCAGCAACAAGTCTGACCTTGGGGACCAAGCAAGGCAGTAGCAGGGGCACGTGTGTCCCCAGTAAAAAGTACATGGCTTGCAGAGGGACTAGATGCCTTCTGCAAGGACAGAGAGGAAGGTCCCAAAGAGGCAGCTGGTCACCTGCCCTGGTTAGGGACCAAGTTGAAACAAGTTAGAAGGTGACACCCACGGGTGGTTGAGAGGACAGGTTCTCTTTTGGGGTTCATCCCCAGCAGGTCCAGGGGTTCCCAACGGTGTGGACGGAGTCAGCGAAGAAGGAATGACACGGAGGCAGCGTTCAGTTGATCATCATAGCCAGGTTCCGTCTTTATTGTCCTGTTACATCTGTATTTATACTAGTTGATTTTAATCCTATCCATTCTATCCCAAAGGTTAGGGCGTTTCTTATCTCCATTCCAAGGTTACCCTATTGTTCCATTAAGCTACAAAGAAGTAACTGAAGGAGATTATCCTAGGTAAAGATTATGTAGCTAGCCCTGACTGGTTTGGCTCAGTGGATAGAGCCTGTCAGGGCACATGCCCAGATTGTGGGCTCGATATCCCCAATAGGGCGTGCAGGAGGCAGCTGATCCATGTTTCTCTCTCATGGATATTTCTGACTCTGTCCCTCTCCCTTCCTCTCTGTAAAAAATCAATAAAATATATTTTAAAAAAAGATTATGTCGCTTTTATCTCTAAATGACTTGCCTGAGAGTACAAACCACAAGAGCTGGAGGAGTTTCCAAGGTATCAGTTTCCTGTTGCTGCTGTAACTAATTAGCACCAATTGAGTGACTTAAAACAATGCAGGTGTGGTCTCTCACAGCGCCAGGGAAGCCTAAAATCAGTATTAGA